TCCTTCAAAATTTAGAAGTTGCTTTTTGTTTTGTTTGGGGACTTTTAGAAATTGTTTTAAAATCGCATTGTCACTCCCAATAAAATGATCTTTAAAAAAAAGAAGAAGAGTGGAGAAAATGTTCTAAAACTGATAGTGGTGATGATTGTACAACTCTTCTTGATGTGACTGGACTATTGAGTAGCATGATATGTGACTTATATGCCAATGAAACTGTTGAGGGGGGAAATAAATAAAATAGCATTATCTAGTCCAAGTCAGCTAAAACATATTAGAAATAAATCTATCTCTCCCCCCACCCTTACAGAGGGGACAGAGTGAGAGAAATTCTTACAACCAGTCCCAATCATTAGCTGAGGCTCTCACCTTACCTAACCTAAAGGCAAACCAAACCCACGGCTACTGAACTGATTCTGACTCAGCCACCCTACAGGACAGGGCTTTCTACTCCCATAAAGAGTTAGTCTCAGAAACCCACAGGGGCAGGTCTACCCTGTCCTCTAGGGCCGCGAGGGTCAGAATTGACTCAAGGGCAGTGAGGGCTGCAGGATGGGTTTGAACTCCCCCAATCTTTCGGCTAGCCTCAGTTCTGAATGATGGCGAAGCCTTTGGAAACGGATCTATGTGGGTAGTTGTGGCAAGGAAGAAGAGAAAGGAGACAGTTAGTCCTGTAGGAGTTGTACTCTTGGGAACAATGTCTTTCTTCTGGAAACAGTGCTGGCACAGGCAGGGGTGCCTGGGAGAGGCCGCCATTTCTGAATTACACAGGAAGTTTCCTTCCCAGGGGTTTCTGCCTCCCATCCTTCTCTCCTTCCTACATTAGTAAACAGCTAGGGAATTAATCAAAGCTTCAAAGGTTAGTGATAACAGGTGGTGACACGAATGCCCCATGCAGCCCAGGTGAACAGCTGCATAGTAGCCAAGGGTGAGTCCAAACTGCAGAATTTGGGGAATGGGGAAACCGTTCCAGCCTTGGTAAAAGAGAAAAGCACACTCTAGCATGGAATGCTGAAGTCGAATGCCACGCCCGGCTCGAACCCCAGGTAGTTACGGCAAAGGAGAAATTGCGGAAAGAAAAAGGGCAGAACCTTCAGAAGTCAAGGAGGAACTATCCCAGCTAGCAGGATTGCCTAGCTACTGCCTCGAGAAAGTCTCAGACGGGTGCCTACAGGCCAATCGCATTATCTTAATGATGGCAAAAGTGGGACTAGGAGGGCAAGAGACTTGCCCCAAGTCACAGCAAAATAGGAACAGCAGGAGGCCTAGAACTCCTCATTCCCAGAGTGAGGCTCTTCTCGTCACACCGGTCGGACAAATATGGTACGTGGCATTTCAAGGGCCAGTGTGGTGGTTTAAGGACTGGGTGGAGCCACCAGAGAAGGAGAGGAGGAGAGCTCAGCCTCTCAGGAAGGCTGGCTGGCGTAAATCTGTCTTGGGTCCTGCTGACCTCAGGGGGCCAAGGGAGCATTCTAGTAGATAAGTTGGCACACAGGTCTTTCTGGTCTTCACGGGGGCTTTGAGGGTTCCCTTAAGCTCAGAAGCATAAAAGTCTCCGGCAACATGAGTCATGGAAGGGCGCTCCAAGCTGTTCTCTCTAAGCAAAAAATTCCACCCAGGGGCAAGTCAGGAAACCTCCAACTCTCTGCCACCGAGTGGGTTTGAATCAGATGTGGGTGTAAGTAACCCCAAGAACTGCCATAGAATCTATTCCTAACCCACAGCAACTCTATAGGACAGGGTAGAAGGGCCTCTATAGGTTTCTGAGACTAAATCTTAAAGGAGCAGAAAACCTCATCTTTCTCCCTCAGAGCCGCTGGTGGAGTTGAAGTGCTGACCTTGAGGTTAGCAGTCCAAGGCATAATCCACAGGGAATGCAGGAAGGTGCACTTCCACGTGGACTCTGCAAGAAACTCTCACGCAAGCTGGGGCACAGACTGTCAGCTTTGCCCTCTAGACCTGCCCACTTGTCTCCAGAAAAGTCTCCCCCTAAGGCTGCCCTCACTGCCACTGCTTAACTGACCTGTCAAACTTTCATCACGGGCCTTGGTGTGTCTGCCAGCACGACCTGGAGGGGCAGCTCTTGGGAACCCCGGTTCGGCTAGCCGGGCACCCACTGGAGAGTGAGTGGGACGCTGGCTAACCCATCTCAGCCCGCCATCCCGTCAATGTCCGATCTGCAGGCGCTGCAGACATCAGTGCCACAGGAGCTGGATGGGAAGCGCACGCAGGAACCACAGGTCCGCCGGCACCCTCTCTCACTCCCTAGGATGCTTCCTCACCCCTGCAAGTAACTCACACTCCGGCACAATCGAGAAGTGCTGGGCGAGGGACCAGGCACAGCCTAGACCGGCAAGTGACGGCTGATTAAAGTCCCCGGGGTCCCTCCGAGGGCAGGGCTCTCGAGTCGCCCCTACCTGCCCCAAGGCTACCTGGCCCAGAGACTCGGGCTGTGGAGCTGGGGACTGCGCGCCGGCAGGGACCGTGCCCCTTATTCGTGGGCTGTGTCTTCCCCCCTAAATCCCAAGGCGACCGTGAGCAAGATCTCGAGGCTGGGAGACCGGCCCCAGCCCGCCTGAGGGGGACCGGCTGCGTCGTGCCAGGACAGCTCCGCGCCGCCTCCCGGGCCGCGGCGGGCCGCTGCAAGCGCAGACCCGGCAGCGAGGCGCGGGGCTGGCTCCTCCCGGGGCGGCCGGGAGGTCTGCGGAGCGGGGGAGGCCTCCGGACCGGCGGTGGATAAGGCTGAGGAATTAATGAATGAGTACGTGAATGAATGAATGGCGAAGCAGAGACCACCCTGGGAGTTGTCCCAAGGAGGGTGCCCTCCCTCCACTGCCTGCTGAGGCCCGGAGCATCCCTCTGCCCCCCGAATTGGGCCCTCTACTGGACTCGGCCTGGACGTCGCGGACCCCTGATGGCCCGGGG